AAAAAAAAAACAACAGGGACAGATAGAAAATGTTTGAAAATATTTAGTTTTTCTTAGTTTTTCTGCTTTTTTTTTACAATTTACAATTACTTGAACAATTCCTTTTTTTTTTCTTATTTCTTAGTGCCTCTTCTTTGGTCTACCTGCATCTTAGTTGCTCTTGTCCTACTCCATTTCACCTCGGCCATTTTACCTGTTCAACTCTGTTGTCTTAGAAGGAGGAAACTGATAGGATCAACAATTTGTGCAGGTGATGTTGACTGTTTGTTTTTGTCTGCATTCAATCTTGCAAGCAAATTTTTTTTTTTTTCAAAATTATTTTTTTTTGTTCACTAAAAAATAAGTAAAGCGTTAATTAACTGACGAACTGATTCTGTGACTGTTTCTAATACCACATTGATTTCTGCTGATCATTTTCTATTTTTTCGTCTTTATTTTTTTTTTTTTTATTATTTTACTTCAATCTTTTTTTGATGGTTTTTTCAGTGAATCATTCATAATAAATTAGTTTATCGATGTATGACTGCTAAAATTTAGACAACCTTCATCTGTAACTATTAACAGTTTATTAGTGAACTAGGTAAATTTACCGTATAATCGCAATATGTCTGTAGAAGAGGCGATGGAGAGAGGAGAATAAGTTTAAAGAATAGATTTGATGCTTTAAGAGAGAAAAATCAAGTTTTTTGTTTGAAGGTTTTATTGTTTTTCATAAAATTTAGTTTTTTTTTTCTTTTTAAATACCTAACAATGACGCCTAAATCTTACTTTTATGTTTAATTTAAAACTCAACAATTTTTTTAAAGTTTTATTTAGTCATCGAAATACTGAGCTACACAGTTTGATTTCTAAACTATTTACAAATTTCAAACAGTAATGTCGTTATCAAGCGTCAACACTTAGCAGCAACAGTTCTGAAACAGTGTACTGCTGTCAGTTGATTCATAAATTATGGTCGACAAGACAATAGAATATGACGTTACGTCAACTATCATAGTTATGTCATATGCAGTTAACAACAACGATACCAACGAAGCAGCAAAAATACCAAAAGCAACTGGGTAAAAAAGAAAGAATTAGGATAAATGAAACTGTAACAGTAATAATAATATTAATAGTAGCTTTGAAAAATATTTCATTCAATTTTTTTTTTTTTTTTTTTGGCTAAACAGTCACAGTGAACTGTCTAACAAATTTTCACGCTTTTCAACAAATTTGATAGGCAATCAACATTGATAGTAATGACTGAGATGATGATGATGATGATGACGATGATGATGATGATGATGGCGGTGATGGTGGTGCTGATACTGGTGGTGATGTTCTTAATGATGAAAGTGATGGTGATGATAGTTTCAGTTGTAGAACTTATATAACGTTCAATTTGGTTTTCATTTCAGAATACTGTAAAATATTGAAGCTCAAAACTGTTTCTGCATTCAATCTGTTATAGTTGGTATAATTTTAAACTATATTATAAATGCTTTCAGTTCTGTTTTAGTGACCATTTGAAAAGCTATCGAGTCAGTTTGCTGTTTGACAATACAATATGATTTTTTTTTTGTCAGTATAATTTAGGCTTTATTCTTTCCTTTCGCAAATACTTTTTTCAACTGAAAAATAGACCTAAATATTTGAGAATTGCTCAATAAATTTTGAATGTATTCCTAATGTCAGTATAACTATATGCAAGCAAAATCACCAACCAATTGTCTTATGGTAAAAAAAAAACTCAAATTTGATTGTCATATTTTTTTCAAACATCTAAAAACATAAAAGGCAGCTGATTGAATGCTACGCATTGATACCTGTTATCTGCCAACTTTTCACTTTTATTTTTGATGCATTTTTCTAATCTTTTCTTCTTCTGCATTTTTTCTTCTTCTCTTTTCTTACTATTCTTTTTTTTTTTTTTTAAAAAGCAGCAAAAGTTTTTTAGCTATGCTATTTTTTGTAGGTTTTTTACAATTAAAAAAAAATAAAAAAGAAAGGAAAGAACAGCATTTAAATTTGTGGTAAATATTCTTTCTCTTATTGCTCGCCTATAACTGAGGAATTCTGGTCAAAAAGTCTAAGAAGTTGGCGACGGGGACAGGGGCGAGGAAGGGAGGTATGGGAATGGGATGAACAACACTCTAACTGTTTTATTACTGTACATTTTTACCATTGCTTCTCGTCTTTTTTTCTATATGTCTATCTGGTTTTTTTCTTTTGGTTTCAGTGACGATGATTTGTGTTTTAAATATAATATCAAAAATGACAGTTCATTATATAGTCGGTTATTAAACTTTATATTTACCAAATAACGTTGAATTAGGTTAGCCTCCACCTCTATTTTTTTTTTTCATGCGAATAATGCAGAACGGGTGGTGGGGAAGGAATGGACGTGGGGAACTGGTGGAAGGGGGGTATAGCTGGAAGAGCAGGGGATGGAAGGGGAATGGGAGGGGGTAATCACAGTGTGTACGAAGTGAAACAGTTGCAGTACTCTTCAATTTTGGTGTGTTTGCTGATCGATCACTTTGTCCGCTGTCAAAAGTTGAGAAAATAACATCTTATTTTTCTTTCTTTTTCTTTTACTTGCTTTTTTTTTTTGCTGTTTTTGAAATTGAGAGGAAAATGAAGGAATAAAGGGGTAGAAAAAGACGAGTAAAAATGAGGACGAGGGTAAAAAAACTAGACCAGTTGTAATTAGATATTAGGTTCTTTATAACTTCTTTTTTCTTCTTCTTTTTTTTTTCTTTATGTGTACTTCTTCTTTGTTTAATTCATTTTTTCTTTTACCATTAAAATTGGCCTCAGTCTATTTGTTAGTTGATGGTTGGTGGCTTTGCTGCACCACGTTTTTTATGCATTTTAGAGCAAAGATCGCCTATAAAACGTTCTTTGGAAAGAAATATTGAAAAAAAGGAAAGTAGGCATGGAGAAAAAAGAGAAACAAAGCGGCTAACCATTTCTCCTTTAGTCTTTCGGTCGTCTGAAACGATTTTAGTCAATTATACCAAAAAATTGAAGCAACAAGGCTTTTTTATTATTGCATTGATAATTAATTCATCTTTTGTTACTAATAGACTTGCAAACGAAGTAAGAACTCAGAAGAACTAAGGAAAGAATAAGGGGAACGAAAGAGTAAGCTGGCGATTGAGGAGCGAATAAGTTTAGTTTTGTTTTTTAAACTTTTTTGCAAGCTAAGACTGCCAGTTAGCGACACCTATGGGTTAGGTTTATGGAGAAGTGAAAAGTAGAGTTTTTTGTTTTTTGTTTTTGGTCATTATTTTCACAGTTTAGCTTCATTGTTCGTCTTCTTCTGTTTTCTCGATTCCACATTCTCGCCGTCTCTCAACTTCACCTTTATTAGAAGGAAAAAAACAATATTGTATATTGTCTACTTGTCAGTTTTAGTTCCAGTTATCTTGTCTTTTTTTTCTAGCTCACTTTTAGTGCGCT